AACGAAACAACAACGGCGACCTTTTAGTGGCGACACATCGCCGCTAAATGTATTAGCGGCAACAACCTGGAACGCCGCTAAAAATCGCTATTCTTTTAGTACATAATATGAAATGAAGTTAGTCATCCTCCACATTTGATTAGTTTTGTGAATAAACTTTCAGAATTATTGTTAGTTTTGTGAATAGCCTTCTAACTTTTGGTAAGATATTATTTGGATAAAAATAACAACAAACTAGTAATAAGTAAATGACAATGTATATTGGGCATATATATGCATAGTCCATATAACTGTAACTTAGATTTTTCTTTTTTTTTTGTAGTACTTGTTGCTTTAACAACACAATTATTGGAGTTCTGAAGATACAATAGTTATTTGAACTTTGGAATTTCTTATATTTTTTTATTAAGAATTCACATATGATGGTTGATTTACCAAGCAGCATGTCGTACAAAACTAAGAATGTGTTGACGGAATATTGTTTAAGAGTCTTGAATGCACAAATATTCGCTTTCTTGTCTCCTGAATAAAAAAAAGTCTTCTAAAAATATAACTTCTATTCCTTCAACTGTCGTATACGCACCCATAACACCCCAAAAATGGTGGCTTTGATCATTTTCTTTATTTCCTTGACATAATCAAACCACAACCATGTCCTCAAACCCGGTTGACATCCTTCAATCAATAGAACCACAAATGTCTACCTCCTACTTGGACTTCCTTTCGGTGGTCAACATGTCGACAATAGTACTCTGCATGGGCGGTTTGCTGGCGGTGTTGGCAGCCCGATGGCTTAAAAGATGGCAGAACCCTAAATGCAACGGTGTGCTTCCTCCTGGCTCGATGGGTCTCCCGTTCATAGGTGAAACCCTAGGGTTGATCATACCTAGTGCTTCTCTTGACCTCCCTCCATTTATCAAAACCCGAATAAAAAAGTAACATACAATTGTTTTAATCTTTATCATGGTTAATTACAAACTGATATTCAAATTAATATATTATATCATTATATTTCAGATATGGGCCTATCTTTCGTACAAATTTGGCTGGTAGGCCGGTGATAGTGACTGCGGATCGTGAGTTCAACCACTTCCTCCTCCGGCAAGATGGTAAGTTGGTTGACACATGGTCGCTTGACACATTTGCGGAAGTGTTTGACCAAACAACACAATCTTCAAGAAAATACACGAGGAATTTGACTTTGAACCACTTTGGGATCGAGGCGTTAAGGGAGAAGCTACTTCCTAAAATGGAGAACGCCATAAATGATACACTTCGTGCTTGGTCGAGCCAAGATTCTACCGAAGTGAAAAGCGCAACTATCACTGTAAACCCTTTGGCATACTAGTATACTACACATAAGAAAGACAGAAAAAGCAAAAAAAAATTAATGTTGCAAGATTTCTTTCTAGTGCAACATTTTTGGCTTTTCCATGTGGCTTATACAGCTTATGACATTAAATATAACCATTGTTTGTTGCAGCTAACCATTGATTTCGCTGCAAAGCAATTGTTTAGTGGTGATCTCGATGATGCACCTCTGAAGTTAAGCGATATGTTCAATAACCTCGTTGATGGCCTTATGTCTTTCCCTTTAAACATCCCGGGAACTGCTCATCACAGATGCTTAAAGGTATATACATACACATATGTGAACAACTGAACATAATTGTTAAACTCCAATCTATGATTGTTTATTTCTAATGGAATTTGGGAATACACGTAGAGTCACAAGCAAGTGCGTGAACTGATGCGTGAGGTGTTAAGAAAGAGGCGTTGTTCAAACGAGAAACGTGAAGATTTGCTCCATCATCTAATCAACGACATGGACACTGAAGATTTCTTATCAGAAGGGTTCATCATCCAGTTGATGTTCGGGCTTCTCTTTGTGAGCTCAGATTCTATCTCAACGACATGTGCCCTAGCTTTCAAGTTTCTCGCTGAACACCCTGTAGTTCTAGATGAACTAACTGTACGTATCTATATACATATATAAAAGAAGACATATTGATTGGCATATTCATGTAAATTTGAAAAAAGGTAAGTCCATGTATTTCAGGCCGAGCATGAAAATATACTCGAAAAGAAAGAAAACATGGATTCCCCACTTACATGGAGTGACTATAAATCCATGACCTTCACTCTTCAGGTAAAGTAATCTCAATATACTAGTACTAGCATATAATGCACATATTTAATTCACTAGAGTTATTTAATTACTACAAAATTACAGGTTATAAATGAGGTACTCAGGCTAGGAAACATATCTCCAGGACTGCTTAGACGGGCGCTGCAAGACATTTCAATCAACGGTATGTATATAAAGCTAGACTTCACATAGACCATCATGGAACTGGGCCCACAAAGTCTGGTCCAAATCTGATCCGGTCTTGGTCAAACTTGGTTGAGAACCGATTCTTCTAATAAAAATAGTTGGTTCAAAATCAAACGGTGTGGACCAGTCCGATCTAGCCCCGTCCCAGTTTTCTAAGTTGTTCTTGATGAAATGTTAATGGGCAAATGTCATATTAACCCATCGAACTTTTTGTGTTTGTTTTAAAGCGTCACCCATTTTTTTTGTACATTAAGGGAAATTAACTCTCGTTTTCCTGTTTTAAAATATCCTTATGCGACCTGATACCGGGTAAGCCTGTAAAATGTGTGTCTTGACCACTGTTTGATCATCAACTACGCCTCCATTTAAGTATACTCACCATATCTACCCTTCTTAATTAACACCCAATTGATTCTTGTCGATCTCAACTGCTACTAATGATGGGTAAGATCAACGAAAATCGTGAATCTGATCCGTCAATTTACAAACTCCATGAAATCTGGTGGTCTTAAGTTGTCGATCTCGGACCTCTACAATAGAATCATTCATTCTTCCTCTGAATCGGAAAGTTGTGGGCATTTTCGCCATGGATTCTATCAGTAAAGTTCTCAATGCCCCAAATCCGCTTTTATTCATCCACCTGTTATGTGTTTCGAGTTCAATTCTTTTGTGGAATTTTGTTGTTTGGTGGGTTCTTGTTATACTTTCTTCATATGTTCATAATTTTTTGGTTTAAAACACCAGTCGATTTTATGGTGTTGATGGTCATTATTTTCATTGAAATTTATGAAGTTTATCATTTTTTAGGTATCATATTTGGTCAATAACAGGGGGAAATGACTCCTGAAATTGCTCTAAACAGAATTAGAGCATCGAATTTTATGTTTTTCTTGGGTTTTGTTTGGAATCATATGCAAGCTTCATGATTCAAAAGGGGCATTTTTATTATTGTCTCTGGTTCATTTTTCTTGGTTTTTATTTTTGGATTCCCCACCAAAGATAGTTCATGGTTTCACTTATATGTATAACTCAAATCAGATGGAGGTGACAACATGCATTCTTGTAGTCTAGATTCAAGATTTTCGGATGTGAAATAATTGATGATTTCACACCCAAATTTACGAGACAAAACTTTAATCCTAAATGCATGGTTTGTTCATATTCATCAAGTATTCTGGTTTTTTTTTTTGAACTCACACATTGGTGCCACCCAACTCTGACATAGACACCTACCAGATTCCATCGTCGACGTTAGTGATCTTAACTCCAACTTACCACCATCTATCAAATCAAGATTTCTTATGGAAAATTACCAACAATTACGGGGAGTTTAACACCAAATGGGCATTTTCTGTAGATTGTTCTTTGGTTAGATTAGGAGTGTTATCCTTTTCTTCTATTTTGTAACCTGCAATGGAGGACACACGAAACTGCAGAGAGGAGATTGGAGGAGATGAGGCTACAATGAGATTAAAACATGTTATAGTGGGTTAAGTGATTTTTTTTAACAGGTTAAACGAGAGTTCATTCCCTTAATGTACAAAAAAAAGTTGGATGACCTTTTAAAACAAACACGAGTTTGATGAGCTAATATAACATTTGCTCAATGTTAATATTTATTGGAATTGAATGTTGAATTGTAGGATATACAATACCTGAAGGATGGGTGATTTTGCTAGCCTCGGTTGCGCTACATTTAAACTCAAGTGAATTCGAGGATCCACTCACCTTCAATCCCGGACGATGGAAGGTATGAAGATACAAATTTATTATACAAAGCTCACGACTTCAACTACCTGCTAGTTTTGTTAAACATATCTTATAGCTATCATTTTATATTTACATGCAACATAAAGGTCAAAATGACTATGGACGTGTTCAACATGGAGCGTTTGAGAACTTCTAGCGTTTGACAAAACGTTACGTCTTGAACAGAAAGCATTGTTTGGCACTACAAGCTTCTAGCGTTTAGTTTAAACAAAACGTTCCAAATTCAAATGGTACTTCACGTACCGTTTAACAAAACGCTACTAGCTACAATCTACCCGATATCCGCTACAATCTACCCGCTATCCGCTACAATATACTTGCTACCAGCTAGTTTTGCCGAACACGCCCTATATATAAATACAAAAATGGCTATAATAATTAATAGTCCCTTGAATCTTATGGTTTCTTTTTCTTTTTTTAATAATCGTAGGATTTAAACCCAAGTGTGGTAGCAAAAAGTTTCATGCCCTTTGGTTCAGGGATGAAGCAATGTGCCGGTGCTGAATACAGTCGGGTGTTCTTAGCCACCTTCCTACATGTTCTTGTCACAAAGTACAGGTATGGCTCTCAACATTTGGAGATTGGTGAGTTTTTTTTTCAACCTGCCTAACTTTGACCATAACTGGACCTTTTAGGCTCGGTTCAGAACCACTTATATTTTACGATTATAACAACTAGTTATTTTGTACAGATGGGAACTAGTCATGGGCGGAAAAATTGTTAGAGCTCCAATTATAAGGTTTCCAAACGGGTTCCATTACAAGATCACACCCAAAACATAACACAAGGCTTTAGGTTCTTTTCTATTGTACAAATGTTGTTTTTTTTTTTTTTTTTTTTTTTTTACAATTTTGATCTATAAATATTGTAATAACTAATAATATGAAAAATAAAATCAATCGTCAGCCTCGGCTTTAATCTCCCTTTGAAGTTCCTCTTTATATTCCTCAAAACTACCTCCAAACGCCTTCACATGTCCATCATCAACCACCCAAATCTCACTCTTTTCTTCATCATCACAAACCCTAGATATCAATCTAGAATCATGACTAACAAGAACAACACCACCTGTAAACTCATCCAACGCATCAGCAAGTGCATCAATACTCTGCATATCTAAATGATTCGTAGGCTCATCAAGAAGCAAAATATGTGGTCTAGACATCGAAATCGATGTAAAAACAACTCGGGCCTTTTGCCCACCCGATAACTTAGCAATTGGACTCAAATGGTTACAACTCACAAGCCCAAATTTCCCAAGTTTGGCACGAACCGCTTCCTGTTTACTAAACCCGTCTTGATCCGGGTGAAGCCGAAGAAGATATTGAACCGGTGTTTCTCCCATACTCAACAGGTCAACAAAATGCTGTGAGTAACGTCCGATTCTCAACTTTTGACTCCTCCTTACTTCTCCGGTCACCGGAGTTATATCTCCGGCGAGGAGGTTTAGTAAAGTCGATTTTCCGGCCCCGTTTGGGCCCACTATCGCCACACGTGTACCCATATCGATCCCGACGTCAACATTCGAAAGCTTGAAGTCGTCTCTTTCAGGGTAACTAAAACTTACTTCAATAAGCTGTAACAATGGTGGTGTTAATTCAGTTGGTTCAGGGAAATGAAACTGAACTGTGTAATCTCTCCATTTTTTTGGAGCTTCAAGAATGTCGTCTTCTTCATCAACCTTCCCTTTCCCTTTCCCTTTCCCTTTCTTTCTCGCTTCAAATTTAGCTCGATCTTTCACCTTTTCTTGTTGTTTCTGATTCCCGGATCTTTTAGCAGCTTTCACTTGCTTTTCAAAAGTTTCGAACTTTTTATTCATTTCTTTACGTCGCTGTTCGTATCCGTTTTCAAAATCGTCAAAATTACCACGGTAGTGATGGAGTTTCAGATCGTGAAGATGGATGATTTCGTTGCAGACAATGTTTAAAAAGTCGCGATCGTGTGAAACGACAACTAGGGTTTTCTTCCATCTGCATAAATACTCTTCTAACCAAAGAACAGCTCGAAGATCAAGATGATTTGTGGGTTCATCAAGTAACAACAAAGTCGGTTGCATAAAAAGCGCTTGGGCTAACGAGATTCTCATCCGCCATCCGCCGCTAAACGACTGCGTTGTCCGGTATTGCATCAGTGTTGTAAACCCTAAACCGGCTAAGATCTTTGAAGCTCGAGGTTCTGCTGAATCCGAACCCATGATTTGCAACTTATCGTATAATTCAGAAAGTTCTTCATCGCTATCGACTTGATTTGATTCGATGAGAGCAACCTTTTCCCGGAGCTCATTAAGCTCTTTGTTTGCTGAAACAACAGCTTCAATGGCGGTTTTCTCATTACCGACTATTTCTTGATCTACCAACAGGACGTCTATGTTTTTAGGTCGAGGAATCTTCTCCCATTTCAAAAGCTTTAAAAGCGTCGATTTCCCCTTTCCATTAGGCCCGATTAATCCATACCTTTTTCCATGAGAGATTTTCACAGATGTATTCTTCAACAACTCTTTCCCACGAACAAAAACAGATAAATCATCGACTGTTATGTCTTTTACGTTCGCATTAGCTTCATCTTCACCATCAAGAACAGAAGCTCGAGCACCAATCACAACTGTAAATGCATCAGGATCGTCCTTTAGAGCTTCTTCTTTCGCCTGTTCTAACAATTGGGCAACAAGCATCTCTCTCTTTTTTCGTTTCTGCAACTCTTTCTCAGTTGTGGATAAATCAAAACTCGCATTGTTGGCCCTCTGTTTTCTACTGGATTTTTTGGTTTCTTCGTTTTGATATTCATCTTCTGTAGATAGATAGTCTGCATCATCATCATCGTCATCATTTGAAGAAGGAAGATCAATGTCTGGATATGATTGCAACTTTGGACGATGTTTTGGCTTCGATTTACAGGTAGTAGAGGTAGAGGATGATCCTTTCCTTGCTTTATCGAGTTTCTGATCCATGCTGGCTAGCAATGCTGAAACCGGAATCTTCTCTTTTGTTCCTTGTTTATTATTTGTCTTCGTCTTCTTCTTTCCCATTTGATCAGTTGACTGTAAAAATCACCAAAAAAAACCTCCATGAATAAGATGTTGAATCTTTTCGACTATACACAATTTAAGTATCAATGCATTCATGTGAACAATAGTATAACATTAACTGATAAAAACAAGAAATAAATCAAAACCCTGATCACCTACATTCAACGCTTAGAATCAACAATTCTCCAACCTTGAACGTCAAATACTAGGCTATAGTTTTATTAATTAACCCCAAATTCCACAAATTCATAAATCTTGATTAATGAATTACAGATATGTTCCGGCACTTAATTACCTGAATTGATTACCCCTTTATCCTGAATAGCTTCGGCACTTGCGTGAATTGATTGATGAAGTATTAGGATTTTTGTTTCTTGACGCAATGCAACTTGTTATGGGAATCGATTCGATTTGTGTATACCACAAGGTGATAGACTTTGAGACGGGTTACTATAAGTATTAGGCGCATCCCCACGCTTTTCACATAAAAATAAAAGAATATGTAAAAATATTGATATGTGAATTTTGCATAGGAAATAAAAGAATATGTAAAAATATTGATGTGTGAATGATGTTGAAAAATAAACAAGTCAATGTAATATGAATTTATATAGTCTATTGGCTTGAAAAGTTTATATCACTTTAATTACGTTATTGCAAATTTGCAATACTCTCTACCCGAACTTTAATAACCAAGTCAGTGTAATATGAATGGTGGAAATTTACATTATGAGGGTGGGATATCCATATACTAAATAGAAATATTATCCTCATAGGCTTGTCTTCTTTTGGTTTACCACCTCGATATAAATTGATAATGATTGTTTTTAATTTGTTTTAGTTTTAACATTGATATACAATTATAACAATTCAAATTACATATGTTTAATGATAGAATTTAATTTGAGATAAATGATTTAACATTGATTTTTCTTGAACAACATTTGTTTTATGACCTACATGTAGTATAGATTTTAAAATAAGAGATATTAACAAAAATTACCACTTTTTCTTATATATGGAAAATAATCATTTTTTTCATATTTGAAATTTAATCATTTTATCTAGAACACGTCCTTCCAGAGTAGTAATCGTTGTTCTAGAGTTGGTGACTAGTTGGTAAGATTTGACATAAAGGTATTCTGAAATCTAACATCGGGTACATTCCGAACGGACAACATACATTTCCACCTGACATACATACACTTCAGACAATACAAAATTCCGAATTAACATTTTCGGAGTGGAAAAAACGGTTTTATACATGATATCTTGGACACTTGTGTAGATGTTTTGCTTTAGCAATTTATTAGATGGTATTCAAATCTAGATTTCTATGATTGAAAATGAGTTTAAGTAATTATTTTTAGAGTATTTGTTTGTAGTTGAGGACAATGAGAACAAATAGACGATTATATGCATTATATTACTTTAGATTATACATATTATGGTGTAGATTTAATAATATCAATTTTTAAAAAATCTATCAATATAACGATATCATACAAATACAAAGTCCTTGTGACCAAGTGCATGATTGACAGATTGACCAAAGGTCAAGCAGGAAAGCAAACATGATGACAAACAATTTTTTTTTTGTTCTTAGGGGTGTTTGTTTTTCCTTTTAAATCAATTTTTTGACTTTTAACTTTTCCAAAAAGTTAGAAAAGTCCAAAAGTTGTTTGGTAAATGGAAAAGTCATTTTAAAACCAATTTTTAGCAAAACACAAAAACTAGCATTTGCAAAAGTCACACATGTGTATTTTTTGTCTTTTTGAACTTTTGAAGCTGGAAAAGCAAAAAATAATCCCGAACACTTTTTTAAACATCTTTAGAAAAATGAAAAGTCCTTTTAAAAAAGTACTTTTAACTTAACTTTTGGCGAGACCAACAAATAAAGAGTGTGTAAAGTGCAAGTTTGAGACGATAGATGTATTTAAACTATAATGAAAGGATACAAAGTGAAATTTTAGAAGCACGCCTTTAGAAACTAAAAATTGAAAATTGAAGCGCAGGGAGAGTTAGCAGGTCACAAAGACCTGCCATTGTTTCTTCAGATCAGGAATCTATCACTCCGCCATAACTCTCGGTTCGTTTTTACTTCCTTCCTCCATATCTCATTTGATGCTAAATTGATCAAATTTCAGGGTTTCAAATCATACTGATTCCAACTGAGCTTTTTTTCTTTGTGCGCACCAACTGTTTGATGAAACGATTCGATCTTTCAAATCCAAATTACTCTTTAATTCGTTATTGTTTTTGGGAAAACCCCCCATTTTTATAACTTTCCGATCATGGATTTCTTGCAAGAACATGGATCATTCAACTCATTAAAGAAGGGCATTTTGTGTACAGATTTGTTGCAGATAAGAGAAGCTATGGCATCCCTCTTACAACTTCCCGCCGATGACTCTGTATTGTTACGTATAACTCATTCTAATCTCAAGACATTCTCTACAGATGCTAGATTCTCACTTGAGGTATCCTACTTCCTGCATTCATCATAGCACCAATCTTAGTGCTTAAAAAAATATTTATCAAATTATTTTTAATTGCTGCTTTTAGAGCACAGTAGAAGCTGTCAAAGACAAAATATGGAAAAAATGTGGCACTTCTGTTGCTTCAATGCGCCTTGAACTATATGATGACACTGGTGCTAAACTATCAGACATAACTGATAATACAAGACCTCTTGGCTTCTACTCTCCACTAGATGGGTGAGTGTGTGTGTGTGTGTGTTCTCTAGTGAGGTTTCCTTCTTAATTTATTTTACATCATTGTAGATTTCGGCTACATGTTATAGATCTTGACCCTTCATCTGTAACATCTGGTGGGTGGCTGGAGGATACTTCATTGGTGGAAAAGTACAAGATTTCTGATGAAGCATATGATAAACTTGATGGTAATTCTTTTATAAAAAAATCTCATTGTAGCATATGATAAACATAAATTGTTACATATGTTTGTAGGCACATACAGAAAGTTTAAAGAAAAGCTTGGACCTCGCAGTAGTTCTGTCCAAGAAAAGGTATTAATTTTATAAAAAAAACTAAAAGGGAAGTTGTATTGTATTAGATAATTGAAATACTAGTGTAAGTGTGTGTTATATTGTGTTCGTTTGACTGTTGACTTTTTTTTTTAATATTTGACAGATGGGTGATAATTATATGGAAGATATTTTTGCAAATATCAAGGTTATTTGTAACCAAGTCCATTTTGATGATATGAATAATCCCAAGTTGAAATTACTTATTTGCCCTTTATCAAACAAATTGATGTTACTGTATTAATCTTTTGTGCCAGTATAGGTGGGAGATAGATGTGAAGTTGACCCAGGGGCAAAAAGGGGAATTGTGAAATTTGTGGGTAGGGCAGATACACTTGCACCTGGTTTTTGGGTTGGAATCCAATATGATGAACCCTTGGGAAAACACAATGGCATGTAAGTGAAATAATACATAAACTTTGGCTTGTTTTCAGTAATAGAATTGTGGGTATTTAATTTTCTTTCTCCTTTTTTATTTAAAATATTTTTGGTAATGTTGACAGAGTGAAAGGGACACGGTTTTTTGACTGTCCACCACTCCATGGAGCCATGGTTAGACCAGACAAAGTAAAGGTTAGCATTATTTCTTTCAATTTTGTAACTATAGTTCAATATTAACTCCATATAATGGTATTTTATTTTTTACAATTATCTTCTAAATGGTGTTTTATGCAGGTTGGTGATTATCCTGAAAGGGATCCCTTTGAAGAAGAAGATGAAATATGAGAGATTTCAGTATGTATTTGGTTGTGAAAAAATCTATGTAATGCATTTATGAAATCTTGCATCTTGCTATTGAATTTTATGGAGTATTAATTTTGTTAGAATCCTAAGAATGTCCTTTGACTTTTACTTATGCAAAGCCTAAAAATCTCATTCATTACTCGTGTAAGTTTCAGGTACTAAAAATACATGATGACACTAAAATCAACAACACAATGGATGTCTCTTCAAATGTTGTGTAAAATATATTTTGTAAAGAAACTTAATTTAGACAATTAAGATTTAATAACAGTATAATTTAACCGATAAAAATGAATAAACTTCATCTCTCCTCTTTAATCGAATGAAGCATGGTAACATATATGTGTTATTTGTGCTTTTGTGTACTTTATATCTTTGATGTTGGTTAATAATTTTCCTTTGTTGTGTTGCCGTAAGTTGAAACTTTTTATTAAAAGTTGAAACTTTTTATTAAATTATCTGTCAAATATAGCATTGTTTTTGTTTCATGAACAAAGGTGCATAAAACTAAGTTACAAATTCTCCAAGTAGTTGCCAATTTAAAGAAAAAAAAGTAATAAATTGATTAGTTTTCAAAAGAATTGGTTTTATCATATAAAAAGGTTTAACGACGCAGCTTGTTGTCTGTATGTTATCTTACTCATTGTATGATGATAACTAAGTGGAAATTTTATAAAGATTCAAGTTATGTCTGAAACATAAAAATAAATAACTATTTAGTAAAAACATAATCAGTGAATTCTACACTTATTTGTCATTAATAGTAGGCAAATAGTAGCTTCTACCACCCTGCCTTGCATACGACTCAATTGGGGGCACTTAGGCGCTGCCTCTGTGGCGCTTTTCCACAACCTCTCCTTGATGCGTATGCCTCACACGCTTTTTTGAGTTGTCCACCATTTCATCTTGCATATTCTTCAGATAAATATACCAAACACTTCCAATTTAGAGATTTATCAAATAATAAAATATATAATCAAAATTGTAAAAACTGATAAACAGTATCATCTGAACAACCCATGTCAACCCACCCTAAGGCTGATCACAGAACACCAGTAATAATTTGGGTGTGTCAGGACCCTGGACTTCATGTGTGGAATTTCACACTTCAACCACTAGGCTGTCGGGGCCCAAAACTATATACTTAACTAACATCAATGTTGTCAACCATTACAGTCCCTGTCGATGCTATCAAAGATGTATTCGTTGATACAAGAGCTTATTCATAAGCCAAGTCACAAGCTGATTTAAAAGCCGCCACCTGAAATATGACATTTGAAATCAATCAATAACAAGAGTTTTGAGATACGTTCACTGAAACAACAATATTTGACTCGGAACGAAAAGTTATAGTCTTGTAAAGCAAATTAGAAGATAAAATAATAATTAAAAAAATATGAGACATACTATTTTCCGAGCCTCTATGAGACCCTCGGAAACAAATTTCACTTGACGAAGATTGAGTGCAGAGTTGTATAACATGCAATGTCATACCCCCAGCCGTCGGCTGAATTGCCAGGCAGTGACTTAAATCGAATATCATACACATAGCATATATTAAACATTAAAACATCCCCTTAAAGTTTTTCACCACATATCTCGTACTTATATCTTACATTATTACATGTTTCACTATGAATTTTCATTGACGCGAAAAGAGGACATAAAACATAATTTATAACAGAAACATAAGTTGGTGATCTCATACTCCTTGCGTGAAATTTTTGTCTTAATTTCCTGAGAATACATGTTAAAATACGTTAAAAAATTTGTTGATGACTCCATATATATATAAAACGACAATCTTTATTTATTTTTCGAGACAACAAAATAACCGTTTTTTCCTTTTTGAGCTTTATTTAACTGTCACATAATTCGTATAATAATTAATAATTAAATAGATTTTTGGATCCCCAATTTATTATATGTTAATTATTATTAACGGTTTGTATATCAATTAGTTTGAAATATACGAGATATCAGTAAGGTAAACTCCTCTACTTTTATTAATTCTTAACCGAATCATACTAATAGTTAATTTGAAAACCAACGGGGTATCAGTAAGGTATCATCAATTATTCTAAACACCAATCTTCTAGTATTTTTATAAGAAAATTCATCTATTACATTTTCAATTTTTCATAATCAATATTATCAAGAAATTCATTATCAACTAAAATTGAGTCACACCATTTAATCTCTCTTGAGAGCACATATAAGATTTTAAAGGTTTAGTTTTGAAAAACCTTTTTTCGGTTGATGCAATTATAATGAGAACAGTCAACAATATTTTGTTTGATAGACAAGAAAATGGATAAGTGTTTATCTTTTTCAAGAAATTTAGTATTCCATTAACTGTATTATTATTATGTTCAAGTGGTAAATGTTTTGGTAACAATTTGAGTTTGTTGAATAAATCATTAGCATTGATGCCTGAGATATGACAATTTTGCAAACTTTTTTCAAGATTTTTACAACTTTCTTTTAACACACTAGTATTTAGTGACTTCAACTTTTTTATTTTGAATAAGAAGCCAAAAAGATATTCATATTGTTTGTATTGTTCAAACTTTTCCTCTAATGAACCAATAGTTTGATCAACTATATACCAAAAATATTAAATCATGAATGACTCATGAGGTGAAAAGTTCATATATCTGTTTTGATGACCTAACATCACTCTCTTCGTATTTTTCTTTAAATTGTTCTTTTATATTTTTTTCAACAAACACCGGATCAATTCCTAAATAAGAAGTTATAACTCTCGCACAATCTAGCCTTGTCAAACTCATTCTCCCAATAGTCATTAAAAAAACTCAAAAATTGCTCTCACGCTACTCTTTGTCTCATCAATACGCATAGTCTCAAATTAAATTTGTTTGCTCGGGTTGTTTACTTTAACCAATATATGATATCATATAATCATAACAATTATAAAGACAAATTTGTCGGTTCTTACTCTGTTAGATATGCAGCGTCACTTTTGATCTTTAATTATATGTGTCTTCATTAACAAGTTTATATAGAGCTTTTACTATTTTAAGAGCTTAAGTCGCTATTGTTTTCACACTTTAATTCTATTTTCTCACCTTATAGACGACAACCATTTTAAAATGAGACTTTGTTGGGGAAAAATAAATTATAGAATTTATGATTTGATTTTGATTTTTTAAATTAGATTTTGGGTAAAGTGTCTTTTATAAAATATGAAATCATTTGCTAGAATTTATATTAGAAACAAATTTGTATTTTTCTTTGGATATAGATATTTTCTTTAAATTTATGATAAATTTTAGAATTTATGATTAGATTTTGACTTTTTTTTTTCATAAGTAAAATGACTTTAAGATTGCAAACCAATGTCACATTATATATGTAAATAATTGACATGGCTAATTTTCTAGAATGATAATACATAAAAATATATTTTATAAAAATACCAACATCATAAATATACATACATTTGTCCCGAAATTCGGAGGCCCTCTAATGGAAATGATATGTTTAATACTTCATCTTTTTCTTATTTCTCTCGTTTTCGTTTCTGAAATACTAGGAGTGGAAAATGGAAATGATATGTTTAATACTTCATCTTTTTCTTTTATGCCCATCAGCCCTTCTTCTTTCAATGCTTTCCAGCTTTAGCCTTCCCTTCTTTTTTTCCTTTTCATTTCAGCTTCAATGAACCATACAACCTACACTTTCACTTTTTCATTAACATATTTTATAAATAATGTTTTATACCTTCTTCCATTTATTCATACACTTGTAGAATAATTTTCATTTAGAGGGCTTTTTGTGAAAGCAATACTCTTTATTTTCTAATTAACATACTATTTAAACAACGTTTTATGTACTCAAATATTCAGAATTATAGAGCCACTTTGTCAGTACACAACCTTATGGAGAAGGATAAAGAAGCATTATTGCATTAACTATCTGTACATAATCAAATATTTCACTACAAATTTATAATAACCTCATAAACAAAGCTTGTAAATAGGCACAAACAAATACCACATTCGTTAATTAGGAAATGTGCATTTGATCAAATTTTATACAGTTTATGACTATTGAATAATGCACAACTATTTATATATTTTGGCACGATAAAAAGAAGCTGAAAAACAATTTATGATTTTGGATATTATGGCTCGTGATCTACTTGTCCAAGCTTGTATGTTAGCTTCATAATCCATTTTTTTGGCTATTGTAACAAGAATTACAATACAATTGATGGAGGTATGCATTTATTTAGAAGATTACTTAAATGGGGTGAAACACATACACCACGTCGTATCATTTGAGCGTAAAATTGAGTCAAAGAAACCAACACCATAGTCTAAAAAACAAGGTCTTGCTGAAGAATTCAAATTTCTCAACATTAACCCAACAACCATCAAAAATTTGATATCTACCATTTGTCACCAACAGGTAAACCCTATTCTAACCACTAACTAACTACACAAGATTGAAACGTTTCACAAAACAAGAAAACATTAGTTAGATCATGTCATGTCAGTCGTTTAACTATCTCTTCATTGCTCCAAACACTCATGAGCATTTTTTAATTTGTCTCAGTCGTTTCACAATCTCTTCATTGAGGAGTCTCATTACCCTATTCTGATTTGAATCATCCTTAGTCAAAACACTCATGAACACGTTTAATTCCTCTAAATTTGCTTTCTTGAACAAACCCGATACAATGGTATCATCTCCTGAGTTACTTTGATCTTCAATATTTACAGATGAACTCCCACACATATCATCATGGGATTGAGTGTGAAAAGGCCTTGATTCCCAGTATTCTTTACACATCCGATGCCTATCCTTTGACTGAATCCCCTGTTAAACAACATTATAACAAATCATCAATTCAATGTTCACAAAATCTTTGTGTTTGTGGTCATTAAAGAGTCTTTTTGACATTTGATTAGTAGTAAAAGACAATTACTTTAATGCCCTTAACTTTTGTTAATCAAGAAACTGAACATTCAAGATTACCTGCAAGATGAAAGGGGAGGAGAAACCGAACATTTCCATGCCATCAAGACTTCCAGAAGGCTGTAAAGGTGGAAGCTTTAATCTTCCCAACTTATGAAGCTTCAAGATTTCTTGATTAATTCTCTCCCTCACCATATCCCAACATTTCACAGCTGATAAATGGATAAACACTTCACTTACACAATTCTCCAAAGAAACCTTTAAACAAACAATCTTTATATCAGCTTCCATCAAGGGTTCGAGTGAAAAAGCAAGAATTATTAAAAAAAACGATTCTTGATATACCATAAATATAGGTCTATCCCATCCAGCATCCAAGATTTCTGAAATGTAGTAGCACGTATTTGTTGGATCAAGAATATTTATATGCTTAACCCTACTCCGGAATCCTACACACAATTAAACATTTAATATTCCATTTTTCTTGTAGGATATCATAATCTTTTTAAAGTGAAAAACTTACCTTTAGGATAAATGGCACAATTATCACACCATAACTTTCCCGATTGCACAATTCCAAATTCAAGAAGCTCAACATTGCAATTTAACCTTCTAACAACCTTAGCAATACAAGGACCTTTACGTCTATTACATCTCTCAAGATTCTTTTGGGAGGAAACCATTTCTTGGTGGGACCCACGAGTGATGTCACCCACACCTTGTAGTGTATCACTTTTGCAAGATTTGTCTTTTTTGATGGAATTTTCACCCTCATCATCACTAAGAATAATAATAACATCATCACTATTTTTCACAACCAATGTCTCTTTGGATGGTGACTTTATACCCGAATCTTTAGGTACATGGTTTGTTAATATGAGTCCAAGATCAAGTTTTGCCCATCTATAAATTGCACTTAATTTTCCTTCTAAAGCTTCAACAAGAATCCCCAAATCACTCATGTCATAACGAAAAAGGAAAAACTTTGAGTTCAATGAACACCCACAAAATTCTTTTGCATGATTCAAGCAAGAATACTTGTTAGGTGAACAATGGTGACACCCTGCAGCCGAAAGATGAAGGTCAAAATAGCATACACTGCATTCTCTTTCATTTGTGGCATCAAAAGTGGCTTCCATTTTTAATGCTTTTTGACCAGTTTTACAAAGATAATCCCTCATCACACGCTCCATTTCCAAACGTTCCTACACACAAGAAAATCTTGTAAGACAAAAAACTGTATAACATAATATACATAACAAACATATGACAAAAAAGATTGTACCTTGAGGGCTTTCAATAGGATCCCATCTTTCCCACAAACATCTTTCCATTTTAGGTTATCAGGTGTATTATTTCGAAGCAAATTCATTTCCCATTGAGCTTTTACAGCATCTCTTGCAGCTCCAAGCAAGAGTTTATCATGAGAAATTGATGTTTTTCTCCCCTGTTCACGATAAAGTTCAATTGCATTATGCCCATGAAGCAACCAATCAAAAGGAGCCACATTCACAGCCTCAGCACAATTAAAACCACAGTTGAATCCTGAATGATATGATCGAGGAAAAGTCAACACGAATTCTCCAGGATTTTGAATGCATCGATACACAGGCACCCCCTCAGATTTTAGTATTGATGGAGAAAGTTGTGTCACCTGAAATGAAATAATTCTTGAACTTTTAAATTTCTGAAAAGTTTTCTTTAAAAAATGTAGATTCATTCAAACCTATGACTTACAAGTTTATGAAGCAAATCTGGTTGTTGTGCAAAAAGATCGGGTAAATGCTTTCTCATAGCTTCCTCTAATTTAATGGCATCTTGTCCTGGAACACCATACCATATTTTTGGATCCCCCCAATGCATGTAATTCATTGAATATAAATGATGATCTTCAACATGCTGCAATAGGATGAAAATATGAAATGAAAGTAAAGATGCTAATATGCTATTATAAGTTAGAATAAATTAATGAAAGTTTGTTGCTATATCTTTTAACTCACCCAACAAAAAGATGAGAAGCACATTCCTATATACAACCATGGAACCAAAACACCAGATATATCACTACTTTCATATGAGAGCACTGAACCTGGAAGCTTTGGGAAGTTATTCAAGTTCCAACCGGATTTTAAGTACTTTTCATCTGCACCTTCAACTTGTGAGGGCATATTGGGAAAACCACTACCAAATGTCCCTGTTTCTAAATCAGCTCCATAAAGCACCTACATTGAAAAAACCAAATTATTTACAACTTACAAGTATAGGAGGGTGTGGAGGTTTAAAATCAGGGTAAACAAAGTAGTTTAGGTCCTAGTGTCTTTTCCTCTATTACTTTTCGTACAATATTAACTTTTTACTTTTGTCCCCTTTTTACTTTCAACTTTATTGCTAGTATCTGCTATTTCTTTTCTTTTATTACTTTTCGTACAATATTAACTTTTTACTTTTGTCCCCTTTTTACTTTCAGCTTTATTGCTTGTATCTGCTACTTCTTTTCTTTTATTACTTTTCGTACGATATTAACTTTTTACTTTTGTCCCCTTTTTACTTTCAGCTTTATTGTTAGTATCTGTTATCTCTCTCTCACCCCATTCTTATGGGATTTGGGTATTGATGATGATAAAAGTGAATGAATAGTGAAAATTACAAATTACCTCAACATCTTCGGTAGGCTTCTCTACCACACGCCAATATTCACCCTCAATGTTTTCAATAGAGGGTTCACATGATCTTTTAGTATCGGATTCATCCACATTTTTTCTAAAATATTGTCTTTTGAAATCATCCGCATATTTCTTGAATCCATCAAGAGTGAAACTTGGACCAGGTTCGAACCCAAAATCATGAGCCATTGGACTCGAAGAACCAGGTGTCCCATGATCTTGATCAACACCTGCTTTTGTGCTTCTTCGCCTTCTTTTCTTTTTGTGGTGATTTGCTTTGAAAGATTTTTTCAAGGAATCCCGATTTTGAAGTTTGTCAACCCTTTGAATACGAGTGGAAAACATGGAAGTTTCCCACACGGTTTTTTCCTTGAGAGGGCATGGAGGTTTCCATGATGAAGGTGGTACTATACGACATATGCCAAATACTTCTGCTTTATCACGAATGCTTGCAATGTACTCTAAAGTATTCTCAAACTCCTGAAAACAAAATGAAATCCATTTACTTCATTGAGGCATGTATGGGTAAAGCAATTGAAGGTGTGTTTCTTTTCTTTTCTAGACCGAATAAACTGTCCGAATGAGACTAAATGACCATTGTACCCTTACATTCTAAGTTCCAACAAACAACTTTCACAATACTTATCAATTCTAACATGAGGGAAGTCGGGAGGATAAAAAGCAAAAAAGGGTACATGGTTGGTGTCTTAACTCTTAATACATTAAGACAGGTTTTTATGGATTAACCCATTAAGTCATTCTTTCCAAGATTAAGTAAAAAAGAAACAGCCATGTGTAGCTGTCCAGATTAAGTGATTAACCTATTAAGCTCATTAAGTCAATAAGAAACAACCTCTTAATATGTTAAGCTATATATGGTGTTTCCTTTTGACTTAATACACAAAGAACATCTCCATTAAATCTTAACCTTTTCAGTCGGATAAAATACAGGAGCCTCTGAAAGATTAGGCACCCGAGCTTCTTCCAGATGCCATTTTGCAGTGACCTAAACACAAAAAGTTTCAAACTTTAGCACATAAATAAACAAAAAGATTTACAATCTACAATAAAAGATCAAACCTTTTGGCAATTGCTACCCTTTTCACACCCACGTGTAACCCCACGAGATCTTGAAGTTTGATCCTGTATCATCAATAACGTGTCAAATATATGGACACATGGAAATGTGGAAAAGAAATATAAGAATTAAGTTTAAGGGATTACAATGTGAATGTGATTGAATGTCTTGGAATTAGACTCGTCTCCTGAAGTGCAATCAAATTGACTATAGTTTACCCCTGGTTTACGCCTAAGAGACCTTTTTACTTTTTTATCCTCATGGTGCACGATTTCTTGTTCTTTTTTGGCTGTTGGTAATGCAGAACCAATTGTGGATGCGGGGGTATTATCGTCTATTCTAAAAGGTGTAAAAGACTCGAAACCAGGTGGAATTGATGGAATGTCGAGGCTCTCTTCTTTGAGGGGATGCCTAATGAGTTGTGTCCCCATCCCAATAGGCTTTGTTAGAACATGTATTCAAGATTTTCTGGTAATCAGATCAGGGATTCAATATTAAATGTGAAATCTTTATATTCTTGAATTTTCTTTAAGAAATACAACACGAAATGTCAAATCTTGATTTTTTTTTTTTTTTGAATTCCTGAATTCTTTTGAGAAATACATCATTAAATGTCAATTCTTGATACTCCCGAGTTCCTTTAAGAAATATTTCAACACAAAATGTGAAATCTTGATATTCTTGAATTGGTTTAAGAAATACATGACAGAATGTGAAATCTTGATATTCTTGAATTCCTTTTTTAGGAAATACAAGACAAAATGTCAAATCTTGAGACTATTAAATTATTTGGAACAACACTTTAATTTGGTAATGCTTTATGGTGAATCTTTTGTTATCAAGTTAAATTTATGTTTTCTTTGTGAGGTCTGATAATGCAATTGTTCATATATTGATGGATTTAGACTGTAAATATTGATCATCATAGGATATAAGCATCTTCAATTCTAGAACGTTCAATTTGCAAAATAGAAAGTTCAAAGAACTTACATAGCCTTTGCCCCAAAATGCAGCTCACACCCTGATGTTGAATATGGCTACAAAAATCAATCAACCCTAAAAATCAAAGAAACAATAAACCAGTAAATTTGACATGCACAACCGCTAATCAAATTGAGCTTAAAATCAAAATCAAAACAAAAATAAACAGCCTAGCCTAACCCGACCCGACCCAGATTCCTAACAGAACCACACAACCATCAAACACTCAAATCTAGGTTACAAAACCATAATTGGTTAATAATGGCAAAAAGGCGACTTATAATCTTGAAACTTGTCAGATCCCCAAAATTGGTATGAAACAGAAACCACAAATTACATCATTGTAGGGGACAAGAAAACACTAGATTGAAAAACAAATTGCAAGAGCATCTTAATATCCATGATCAAAACATAAAAATAGCATAATACCTTAAACCTAATTAACACGCAACACAACACATCTATACTTTGGATAAAGAGGAATGAGCATGTGGTTAAATTGTTTAAAAAAGAAGATTTATATTTATACCTGTTTGTGAATTTATTTTGAATCCCCAACCAATTTTCTTGGATGGATATGAAGAAAATCAAAGTGGGAAAGGGGAAATTGAAGTGGGTTTGGTCAAGATTTTAGTTTTTGGGGGAAAAAAGTTAATGCTTTTACAGGTAGACTGTCCAACCAAGACATATTAACACAAAGTTTACCAGGGAAACATGAATTAGATAAAGATCTTGATTCTTGATTTACATATTTTTGTGTTTGTTTATCAAAGATAACTATGGGAGTTGCTCATTGTTTCAAGGGAGTAATGGAGTTTGACGAGAAATTGGGGAGAAATTGAAAAAGTGGCCCAATTAGACGTGTGATTGAAAGTGTTTAGGGTTGCGTGAAGGGAATTCAAACTTTATTCCGACTATTTCTTCTCTTGAGTTTGGAAGAATATTAATTTAATCAACAATATTATTGTCTAGTTGGATTTGATGAACGGTCAAGATGGAGACATTTTTGCATATCTTCTTTCAATATCTAAAATATCGCGTTACATACAATACAATGGGCTCCCATTTGCCGGTTTCATTGATTAATGATACGAAGAGGAAAGAAAAAGATAAGGCATTGTAGGTTGCAGTTGCACTAACTATCTTTGAGTACATCAATGACCAATTTGAATCATTTGTCAAAGTGATGATGATGTCCTAAATTTGACATTTCGAACACAATGTTTCAGATTTCGAATTTTAGATAACATTTTGTTTAAACATTCATTTTGGATTGTAGGCCTATGTGTACATTTCCCATGAGTGACCGCCAAGGTGAACTATTTATTCAGAAGAATAATAATGATGCACTCTCGATCAAGTGGCGCAAACTCCCAAACTTACGTAGGTAAACAAAGAAATCAACCATTTGTTAGATGTTATTGTGGTATTAAAGCTAGGTTTTTAGTTTCGTGGATTGATTAAAATTTATAACACATGTCGATGTTCCTTTGGTTTCCCATATAAATGTATATCGGGAGCTTTGTAGTCTTTCTTGTTGTGTATGGTGATGACAAATTGTAACATCTAGATTTTCAAGTATAATTTTCTAAGAAAGTTATGAGTTTTGGATGGCCACGACGTGGGTGAGGTATCACCACAACGTGGCGTGACCCGTAGAAAGCACACATCTCATTTAGTCACCACGACGTGGCAATATATTGGCCACGACGTGGCGACTGTTTTTGGACAAAACCCTAAATTTCGAACTTAAGTCCATATTTAAAGGAAGTGATGGCTAGGGCTTCATCAACCTTCAGCCTTCATCACCTCTAAGAGCCTTGAAGCAAACCCTAATCCCTTCTCTCAGTCTCTCTCTCTCCCCCATATTTGAGCGTATCTTTGGTGTTTTTGGTGCACTTTGAAGGAAGAATAAGAAGATTTGGTGCAAGGATCAAGCAAACAAAACCTCACCATCTTTGAGATCACCTTCTGGACCATTTGTAAGGTTTTAGGATCTAATCTTTTTGACTCCTTCTTAGTAGATCTAGGATTATTGTGCATGTTTGGGTCCTTTGATGTGTTTTGAATGATCCAGTGAGATAAAGTTTGCAACTTTATGCCTTACCAAGGTCCCTTGAGCTTGTTACCTTCTGGATCTAGAAGATGGTTGGGTTTTTGGAGTCACGCATGTGTTGGTGGTCACTTTTCTCATATTTTGACATAGTTGGGTTGAGGACACGTATGGGTCATACATGTCCATAAAGTTTGGATTTTTAAGGACCATTAGGGTCTCTAAAAGCCTTATGGACAACTTGAGAAAAGGGCTTAACAAATTAAGAGCTTATGCAAGAAATCTATTTTTAGCGAGTAGCCACGACGTAGCATGAAGGGTGCCACGACGTGGCGATGAGGGACTCATCGACTGTTTTGGAGGGACTCTCCCACAACGTGGTGGCGTGTTTACCACAGTGTGGCAATGAAATTATATGCGACTAAGTTTGATCGTGACCGAGTTTTGGATTGGGAATGAGTTCATTAGCCACAACGTGGCCATAGGTTAACCACGATGTGGCCATGGGTTGATCACAACGTGGAGGTAAATTATTGTTGACCTTGACCATTAACTTTTTGACTTGGTTGACTTTTGGTCAGTTTGATAGTCTTAGGGTGTGGACTAAGGTTTGACTTTGGGTGCTTTGATAGGTGGTTTGTATCACCAATGTCAAGACTTTGTGAGCAGTGTTTTTCCGGCTACGACTATGAGGTGAGTCTTCTCACTATACTAAGTAGGATGTTGGTTGTCTTTGTGATGCTTGCATGAAAGACCATGGGGTAGCCCATGGAAATTGTATGTAAGACCAGGATTTGGCCCTCGATATTGCAAGGAAAGACCATGGGGGTAGCCCATGGCACTTGGACGTAAGACCATGGGGGTATCCCATGGCATGTGGATGTAAGACAATGAGGGTAGCTCATGACATTTCAGGGAAATACCATGAGGGTAGCTCATAGAAAATGTATGCATGGTATGTGGTATTTTCGGAAACTCACTAAGCTTTATGCTTACTGTTTATGTTTTAAATGTTTTCAGGTACTTCTGGTTCTAAAGGGAAGGGTCCAGCTTGATTGCGTTGTATCTCCTGGAGATTATTTTTGCATTATCTATGTTGATTTACTATGATGTTTGAGAGATACATTTTACTCTGATTGTCTTTTGAACAAATGATTAATGTGGTTTAGGTGTTCTAAAAACAAATTTTTTACTTGCATTTTTGGGATATTACACATACTCCTAATGGAAATGATGGAATTGTTTTTCTATAAAAGGCATGGGAGAGGCAACAAAAATATTGAGCATCAAAATCTATAAAGGTAGATCTAGAAATCTCATTGGGTTAATCAGGAGTATGTACATAGAAAAGATATTCAAGATGCATGACTCCAACAGGGGTAAAACCTATGAAACATGATTTAGGATTAAGTTGGGCTCAATGTCCTAGACCTATTGAGAGGCTATATAGGATAAGTAGACTCTCGTGTGCTTCATTTGTGGGATCGATCACAAATGCTATATTATAAACGAGTCATGATACATCATATGCCTTAAGCATGACAAGTTGATATCATATCAATAATGTAGAAATTAGAATCTCATTCGATGATGGCGAAGAACATTCTCAAATATTTTAAAGGAATAATAGACATGTTCTTGATATCTGGAGCTTGGAATAGCTTAGAGTAAAGGGTTACACTGATGCTAGCTCCCAAGTTCATAGATAAGATTCATGTTTGCAGTCAATTTGTGTTCTAATTGAACATAGGAGTGTTGACTTGTAGAAGCTCTAAGAAAGATTGTAACATCGTGTTTTGAGGTACTTTCATCTTTGACCCTTATATTGAGAATTATTGCATTTTGGTCCTTGTAATGTAAGACTTGTTGATGGGAGGGGTTGTTTGCGCCACCTTTGGATTTTTGGGGCGGAGCCCCGTACGCTGGGCGTACACGGTGAAGTCCCAAACCCTAATCTTTAGGGTTTGGACCCTATTTATTCATAATTAACTCCCAACCTTGGCTCCTTCCATCAGCCTCCACCCTTTCAAACGAGCTTGCAACCCTAATCCACCTTGTGAAGCATTTCTAAGATTATGTGTGTGTTTTGTGCTTTTGAAGAAGAAGAAAGGAAGTAAAGACCATCTTGAAGGAGTGAAGCACTTTAGATCCAGAAACACACCCTCATTTGGCATCACTTGGAGGTATAAAGTTCAGAACTTGGTGAAGTTTCATTTAGATCTCGTTTTGGGCTTGGTTTTGGGTTCTTTTTTTCCCAAATGTGGTGTTTCATGAGCATACCATGTTGTTAACCCAATAAGTCATCCTTCCAGACCTTTGGTGTAACACCCGGTTCCTGGTACGTATTTAAATTCAAGTAACTCCATGTTTTGCTCTGGGACTCAGCGAGTTGGAGGCCCAACTTGTCGAGTAGACTCGACTTTTGATCGGGAGGTCAAGTGACCTACTCGACGAGTCGGGAGACCGACTCGGCAAGTAGGACTGTCTGGATGAAACCCTAATATTTGGGTTCGCACCCTATTTAAACAACTTATAACGCCCAAACCTAGCCCCCATCGTCCCTCCCAACCCAGAGAAAACCCTAACTCGAACCCTAAGCCTCTATTGTGTGTTCTTGAGCTTGTTGGTACCTTTTTGTGTGTTTTTGAAGTTGGAAAGGAGGAAGGAAGCTTGAGAGTTCAAGTAGAAGCAAGAAGATCCATAGGTTTTGCTCCATTCTCAGCTCATTCAAGGTAAAAAGCTGGAACCTTGACCATCTATCTCTTAGATCTTGATTTGGGGCTATTTCCTACCCTTCTTATGAGCTTAGAGAAGCTATAATCGGATTTTGTGTGTGTGCTTGGAGTTGCACTTCAGATCTGGAACTATTGTGGGGGTCCTTATGGCATAAAGGTGCCAACTTTGTTGCCACAAGCACCCAATGCATCTTATAGACTTCTTTTTATGGTCTTTTGAGTCAAAAACCCCATGCATGGACATCAAGTTTGTAGCTTTACGTATAAAATGGACCCTGGGAGGCCAGATCTATGGTTTTGATGCGTTAAGACCCATTAAAATCGATTGAATAGTTTTGGACAAAGAGGGACTCGGCGAATCACTTGGGTGACTCGACGAGTCGGGTCGTATTTTCCCCAACTGTCTTCTGGAAATGGTTTTTGGTTGAGTGGAAGGAACACTTAGCCTGTTAGGGGTTTGTTATGGACTTGAAGATCGAAGGACTCGACGAGTTCAAGGAGGAACTCGGCGAGTTCAAGGCAATGTCCCAACCACATGAAGACGGACTCGACGAGTTCAAGGATGAACTCGGTGAGTCATAGACTGAACATCTTCATATGGATGAAGATGGACTCGACGAGTTCAAGGACGAACTCGGCGATTCGGTTGAAGATAGTCTGATGTGTTGAGGAAGGCGAACTCGTCGAGCTCTTGCTAGACTCGACGAGTAGGGATGGGATTATGGCATTTTGTGGACATGGGGACTCGGCGAGTTGGTAGACCAACTCGGCGAGTCGAGTCAACCAGATGTTGACTTTGACCAAAGTTGACTATGACCAAGGTGTTAACCTTGACCTTGTCTTGGACTGGAGTTGACCCTTGTAAGGGTTACTGTTAGGTGCAATTTTGTGCACCTTTTGCACACCTTTTAGTCCCATTTCATGCATCTATTTAGCATAATTGTTCTTCCTTTTTCTTGCATTTCATCATATTCATGTTAGTCTCTAAAACAACCTTATTTGCACACTTTCATGTCTTTTTCAGGTAAACCGGAGCTTGGAATGCGCTTTGGGAGGTGCCGGGAAGCATTGGTGAAGATTTCGGGATGATCGGGCGAAGAACGAAAAAGTTGGAAA